CGCTATTCTCCCAGTTTCTCTTTGTGATCACAAATAAAAAGTAAATACTGCAGTCGTAACGAATAAATCATCCATCATCTCTTCTCTTCAATATCTCATCTCATTTTCAAAATTCGTTACAGTCATGCATGTCCACAGAACAAAAGAAAACAAAACACATACGGAATGTATTGGTGATGGCGCTTGGCAGAAAGTGAAGAAGGAACGCAGACAAATATCACCGCCTAGCAACGATATTCTTTAGTATAATGTTTATCGATATTTGTATACTTCGCATTTAAAATAAAGGGACAGTTAAGAAATGGTCTAAGTACATGTTTCATACTGGAACTCTATAACCATTTGAACATTGCTCGACATGACAGTAATTTATTGAATAAAAGTAATTATCAAATTCAATATTTTTGACAATCACCAGTGTTTTTGATTGGTCAATATCTCCACCACTACGTTAAGTGGGAGAAATACTCTGAACATCTATTTAGAGATCGCGTGTTCAGGTTAATTTGGAATAGCTATCTTTTAGTTTTTCTGTAAAGTATTGTAGTGGATGGACATCAACTTGATATTTTTCAACAAAAACTCTTCCATAACCTGTTAGGCTTTCTCAATGAATCACTGCTCTTTTTAACTATCATTCAGCGCTGAGAAAACCATTGAAGTTGAGCCTTGTGTCCAAGCAGACAAAAGTTGGGAAAAACGCGTTTAAACGCACAAAAGGGAACCGCGATTGTGAGTCATTAACGCTCATTAAAAAAGCGCAAGAAAATGCGTGTATTGGCATTTTCTTTAACCCTCTGGGGGCGAAAACGGCAAAAAACTCCACTTTTTGAGCGTTAAAACGCATTGTTTTTAGATTTTAGAATAAAAGCGCGTTTTAACGCTCAAAAACTAGAGTTTTCGCCGTTTTCAAGCCCAGAAAGTTAAAGAAAACGCCAATACAATCGAAATTCTGTCGAAGACTCTTAGAGCTGTCACCTACCACATATAATTACTTCAATGATCCATTATTTATTAGGAAAATGTGATCCTCTAGAAAGCATTGCTGTCAAATTTGAACGACACAAGAGACCAGCAACAGCGTTCATGTGAGAAGGGATTAATCTTGCAATTGAAATAGTTGCAAAAACAGTATTTTATGAAGAGATCAAATCATGAATATATGTTTGGAAGAGGCTCTCGCGAATAGGTCACTGCTGAACTAAGTCAAAAGTCTCCCAGCTGTCGATGGTAGTTCGATTAGCAATTAATTCACTATTTCCGAAGTTGTCAGCACAGACGTATTTTCCATTGACTGCAATAAAAGCTACCTTTCCATTACCACGATCAACGATTCGAAAAGTTTCCCAAGAACTAATTGAAGTGCGATTGGCTATCAAAGAACTGTTTCCTGCATTTTCAGCGCAAACATATTGTCCATTGGCATGTGACTTGAGAGCAACATTATCTCCATTTAGGGTGATAAGATCGAACGTTTCCCAAGTAGATGGAGCATCACGATTAGCAATTAAAGGACTATTTCCAGCATTGTCGGCACATATAAACTTGCCGTTGGCATTCGAGCGAAGTGCAATAGCTCTCTGAGTGATGCCTGGCTTGCATGTTTCAGCATTTGCAGTGTTATATTCGAAAACAATGGTAAAATTACCTTCAGGTCCACCATGTGTTTTCGTATCATCAGTGGGAAACAAATAAGCATCTGCAGCCTTGTTATGTAATGCTTCAAGCCGCGTTCTAAAAAGTGGATGGAGTATTATGTATACTACTCGACGTAAGAAAAAACACTGACCCGTCAGGAGCGATTAGCTTCATCGGTACATTGAAACCATCAATAACACTCAAATCATAGTAAACATTGTGATCGTTGGCCTTCACCGATATTTCGAATAATGTCACTCCTCCACTGCCACCATTGTGACGAAAATTTCCTGACCATTTGTCTGGGATATGATATTGGTGAGAGCCACTAGGAAAAAAATTGGTCAATTTATCATTTTCTCGTTCGCTTACCCAGGTAGAATGGTTGCTATGTGCTCGGGTGGCGTATCATTTCTTGTAGCGACAAGACGAATAGGTTCCTCGAGCTTGTTGATGAAGTTGACGCTGACTGGCATGGCTCAATTTTTGATGGTTTAACTTTCAGAAACTAAAGAGAACAGTCACAAATCAACGTGGGTCTGGGTGAGCGTCTTTTTTTGCATCTCCATCCACACCTGTACCCTCAAGTAATTTTAGCCGTGTTAGGTAGAATATATCACGTTCTGATGGTCATTCGATACTCATTCTATCACTTCTCATTTCTATCTGAATCATGTGAGATGCCTGGCAAAGATACGCGGTTCGTTCTCCATCAGAACTATGGTTGCAATCAACATATTCATGAAGGAATCTCTCATTAAAAGTTATTGACAATTAATATCTATGAAATACGTAGTTGATTGCAACATTCTCACTGTCGGTAAACATGTTTGTAAAGGTATCGTACAGGTGAGGAGAAAGAAAGAAAGAAAGAAACACATCCATGCAATCGACATTTTATGGTATTCTATAGTCGAGGCTTCATGTTGATGAATTGACACAACATTGTTTGGTTATTTATGCATAAAAACCAAATTACATTGAAGTTTGTACATAAATAAACAGGTAATGAAAAAGTAATGAAAAACGTAATCTTGCTTGCATGCTATGATGTTGTGACCAAGCTCATTTTTATATTCAATCATGTATGTTGCGCTGTTGTTGTTGCTGTCATCGAAATACGTTGAATCTAATCCTACACATTTTCTATTAGTTCGATGCCTGGTCTAGTAGTAGCATAGTTTTAAATCGAGCCTAGAAATAGTAAATCTTGCTATGGACAACGATACAGATTTAGATTTAGTCAAATTCTTTGAAACATATGACTTGTTTATTATGAAGCTGATTTGAAGAGCTACAATCCGTAAGAACGGGAGAACCTTGAGTAGATGCTTAAAGTTTCCTCTTCCTTAAAAAAATTTCCAAAGATATAGTTATTAGCTCATGAAAATGCGCTGAGAAAGATTGAAAACGATCAGTAAATATTATGCAGTTTCAGACCTTCGACATGTATAGTTAAGTTTCTCTTTTACGAATATTTTGAGAACAAAACTCATAGAAGCTATTTTTAATTTACACTTTTGTTACTTTCGTATTCCGACAAATATTGCTGACTGTATTCCACAGTCAAATTCAAACTTATTTTTCACGAGCAAAACAACCCAATCCTTATTTTTTTTCGGAATATGATGTCATCTATATATGGGTGTTACGATCGTATTGTTCCCATACAATCGTAAGACGGAGAATAGATACCCTTTCTAGTACAGTGGTTAATACGTCTGCCCGGTAAGCAGGAGGTGCATGG